CTGCGATCTGCGAACCTGTCGCCACTTCCGAGGGCTGCTGGGGGGCCCAGCGGAGTGACGTCCTGCGCAGACCGAAATTCAATCCTCACCATCCCTGCAGGGCGGTGCTCTGCGAAACTGTCGCCACTTTCGATGGCTTCTGCGGGGCCCAGCGGAGTGACGCCATACACAAACCTAAATTGGACCTCGCCATCCCTGTGGGGCTGCCATCTGCGAACTTGTCGCCATTTCGGGGGGGGCTGCCTGTGGGGCCCAGCGGAGTGACGTCATACGCAGACTCAGATCAGACCTCACCATCCCTGTGGGGCTGCCATCTGCGAAACAGCGGGCTGCGGTCTGCGAACCTGTCACCGCTTTCGATGGCTGGTGAGGGGCACAGCGGAGTGACGTCATACGCAGACCCAGTTTAGACGTCGCCATCCCTGAATGGTTGCGATCTGCGAACCTGTCGCTATTTCGGTGGGGGGCTGGTGGGAGGGGGGTCCAGCAGAGCGGCGTCCTTCGCAGGCTTACACATGACCTCGCCATCCCTGGAGGGGGCTGCGGTCTGCGTAACAGTCGCCACTTAGGCAGGGCTCCGGGGTCCCGCAGAGCGAAGTCCTACACAGAATCAGATTGGAACTCACCATCCCTGGGGGCTGCGATCTGCAAAATTGTCGCCACTTTGGATGGATGCTGGGGATCCAGGAGAAGGCCGTCCCACGTAGATTCATACTCGCCTTGATTTCCTTTCCCGTGGGCCGCCTGAAGACCTGGCGGCGCGCTCGCCGGCTTTTAGCCCCCGAGGTGCCAGGTGTCAGAAGGAAACGGTGAACATGGTTGGCGAGTTCGGCTTCGTTTGTTTCTTGCACTAGCTATGAGCAGCTGATCCTTTGGAGCGCCAGAGCGGCATGGCGCGGGCTGGACCGCGTTGCTTGTCCAGCACGCGATTGGTATATGATCGCCACCTCTTTCCTCATCCTGCCTTTTTTGTTGTGGTCCTCTTCCTCCCTCCACCATTTCATTGTTGCGGTCGCGTCAACTGTTCGGCCCCTCGTCTGTCGTGTTCCTCACCTAGTTCCCGCTCCCCTCGTCTTCTTCGAGATTGGCGCCTCAGTCCTCGTCCTTGTGTTGCTGTCCTGTGAGTCGCGTAACCCGCGCTCCCCATATAGCTCGCATAACCAATGGAAAACCTTGTGTTGTCATCCGGCAAATCAATTATGTTGGACCGATTCCTGTTTTCATTTGGTGCAGATGGGTTGGATACGTCCCAAGCGACTTGAAACACGAGAGCGCGCCGACCAAAGCGACCGCCCATTTTGTTTTGCGTTTGTCGGGTATTCCCACCAGCCCATCTTGAAAAGATCGCCAGGGGAGTTGCCCTAACGAGGGGAGTGTAGGAGCACGCTGTGGAACAGCCGCTGTGCTCGGGGTCGCAATAAACGGAGGATGCAAAAGCAGCCTTATCGCAAATGTTGTTGTAAACGGTTGTTGGAGGATGATTCGAGCCATCTTGGGTTCCTTTTGAGGTCCCCGTGGGGCCTCTTGGAGCATTCTTGGGGTATTTGTCGGGGGATCGGGATTTCCTTGGGGCTTTCCTGGGGGGTGATTTATTGAGACGGCTTTGTAACCAAGAGCCAACAACCCCCCCCCCCCCCGTCGGATGACAGCATCCTTCACACACCCAAGGGCAAGGTGTGTTGCTTCCTATATTTGGCAATGTAGACGCTCGAACCCCTCGGGGCCCCCGTCCACACCCAAGGGGCGGGGTGGGGGGAGGGGTAAACCTGTCCCCCGAGCAAGGGGCGGAGGGGGTTTTGGAAGAGGCAGGACAACGACTCGTTATACCACCTTCGCCCAGAAGGGTGGTGGAATGTTTGAAAAAAAAGACCCCCTCGTCCGTGAAGCTGTTGGATGTGTGTTAAGGCGGGCGTGCGCGGTGCATACGCGGGAGCTCCATTTTGATCACGTTTCGCTTTACACCCGCGAAACGGGCGGACTTGTGCAAATAGAGAACGTGCACTGCGCGAAGGCGAGGGCCACAGTTCGAAAGTGGCATGCTCCATGTGTAAAGTTGTTGTGTTGTATAGACGAGTGCGCGCGGTGCCGAGGTGAACCAGCCACCTCAATGTGCATGAATTGGTGCCATGTGTAGTCTGGAGAATGTGAACGGTGAGAACGTCTGGGAAAGGAAGCGTTCGGCCCGCCCTGACGAGATGCATGGTGGTGCGACAGGGAGGGCTCTGCGTCAGGAAATGTGATGGAAGAGGCGAAGACTAGAGTGACCCCAAGACGCTGCAACGCACCCTCCCATCGCAACCCCCCTCTTCATTCTTCCTCCAAGCAATCCATGGTCACTTCACGAAGGGCCCCCCCTCCCCCTCGAAAGACGAGTGCAACTGAGGTGCCAGCGGCAGCCCAGCTTTGAAACGCAGCGGCCCTCCAGCCGTAGCACTGCCGCACATCTGAAGACGGTTTGGCACACGCGCATCACAGTCTCAAGCGGGAGCCCCCCCAACATAATCCTGGCATCTGGTGCGAGCCACGTTGGACTGCTGGGCGTTCTGCCCACCACCTTCCGACAGGTAAACTAAAGAACTCAGCGTGAACTGGGCCTCCCCCCCCCCAAAGAAAAAAAAAGTCTCAAGCGGAAGCCCCACTTAGAGAAGGTGCAGCCCTTCATCCGTGCAAGTGTTGCACGGCGCCTTCTTGCGAAGGCCTCACGGCCGGCGCCGCCGCCCCCCCGAAGGCGGGGGTCCCCCCCGGGGACCCCCGCTGGCGACCACCCTTCCGGGACCCCAAGGGGCGGCAGTCTGACCCAGGACGGCCCCACCACGTCCCAGCCGAAACAAAAGCCTTGGCATCGCTCGGACGTGTGCATTTTTTCTTCGGCGAGGACCATCGAGGAACATCCTTGATCATTTGGCGAAAAAAACCACGCACGAAACCGAAAAAAACACAGGGAATGGACGTCCGAGCGATGGCCAGAAGCAGACCTCCGTCCGTGCACTTGTCGCACGATGTTGTATTGCCGGCAGCTTGTGGTGAGGAAAAGCGACCCTCTTTCCATCAGTTGTTTAGATATCCGTAAGGGCTTCGCCCCCTGCCGCCGGCCCCCTCTCTCGGAGAATGGGCCATGGAAGAGCTAAGTCATGAGGCCTTGGCGCTGTCGTGAAGCAGTATCGAAACTTCATGCGAAGCCGAGTCGCAATCAGCAAAACCAACTGATCACAAGAGGGGTTACCACACCTGGCGATGGTAAGACGTGTATGGTTTAAGGGCTTGGTTACCACACCTTGCGATGAAAGGGCCGAGGGAGTTCTCGCAGTTTGGGTTACCACGCCTTGCGATGGATGTGCGTGATGGGTTCGAATTTCAGAAATGTGGCAAATCCCCTGTGTTTTTGGACCCTGACCCCGCGGATCTGCGTAAGGGGTGGCGCCGAATTTCAGAAATGTGGCAAATCCCCTGTGTTTTTGGACCCTGACCCCGCGGATCTGCGTGAGGGGTGGCACCGAATTTCAGAAATGTCGCAAATCCCATGTGTTTTTGGACCCTGACCCCGCGGATCTGCGTGAGGGGTGGCACCGAATTTCAGAAATGTGGCAAATCCCATGTGTTTTTGGACCCTGACCCCGCGGATCTGCGTGAGGGGTGGCACCGAATTTCAGAAATGTGGCAAATCCCATGTGTTTTTGGACCCTGACCCCGCGGATCTGCGTGAGGGGTGGCACCGAATTTCAGAAATGTGGCAAATCCTCTTGTGTTTTTGGACCCTGACCCCGCGGATCTGCGTGAGGGGTGGCACCGAATTTCAGAAATGTGGCAAATCTTGTGTTTTTGGACCCTGACCCCGCGGATCTGCGTGAGGGGTGGCACCGAATTTCAGAAATGTGGCAAATCCCCTGTGTTTTTGGACCCTGACCCCGCGGATCTGCGTGAGGGGTGTCGATTTCGAGCCCCCCCAGTAATTCAGACAACGCGCCCAGGGGACGCTGGAAAATCCTGTTTGGGCCTCCCCCCCCCTCGCGCGGTCAATCAACTAGTTACAGTAACCAGCAAGAAGTCAACTAGTTACAGTAACCAGCAAGAAGCAGAACTGTAACACTGGAAACTAGAAACTAAAACTGGTACAGGAAACTGCGAATCACGCGCCTCGCAGCCTGGTGGCCCCACAAGGGGGCCGGCGGATTCAGCGCAAGCACGGGCGGCACCAAAGCAAAAGCCGCGCTTTAAAAGATGGTCCGCCGTCCATCTGTGTGATGTTGAACATTTTGTGATGAGTGTACGTTACCGGCTCCACGGCGAGAGTCGCATTTTGAAAACGCCCCGCACCCGGCATTTCAAAGAACATGCATTGTAACGGCGTCTCGAGCGAAACGTCTGGCCCACCCTAACGGCACGTCTCATGCAAATGGGAGAAATTAATTTCGTGGAAGAGGGCTTGACGGGACGAGGAAAAGGAGGAGTGAGAGTTGCGCCAGCACCACGTCAGAGAGCGACAGAACAGCGCTCCGAGGGGGGGGAGGAGGAGGAGAAGGAGGGGGAGGAGAAGGATGAGCAGGAGGAGGAGGAGATGGAAGAGAAGAAGGGAGGAGGAGGAGGAGGAGGAGGAGGAGCAGGAGGAGGAGGAAGGGAGGAACAGGGAAGAGAAGGACGAAGGATAATGAGGACGAGGAGGACGAGGAAGAGGATGAGGAGGAGGAGGGAGGAGGAGGAGGAGGAGGAGGAGGGAGGAGGAGAGTAGGAGAGAGGAAAGAGGAGAGCACTCGCAGGGACCTCATTCCATCAGGAACCAGGAACCGGAGGGAGGAGAGGAGGAGGAGGAATGAGAAGGAGGGAGGGTGGGAGGAGAGGTAACGAGGAGGAGGGAGGCGCTGGGAGAGGAGGAGGAGAGACGAGGAAGGAGGAGGAGGAGGAGGCGGAGGAGGAGGAGGAGGAGGGAGAGCGAGCGAGAAGAGGAGGAGGAGGAGAAGGACGGAGGAGGGAGGTAGGAGGCTGTTTGAGCACCGCACCGGAAGGCGCCGGAGCTCCAGCATCTCTTCGGCGGCGCCGCCGCGGAGCCCGAGGCGCCCGCGCCGGCCCCGCGACCGGTGGCCGTGCTGCGCGCGTCGCGGAGCCGGAGTAGGAGTTTGGGGGGGGGGCAGGAGGCCCGGAGCCGCCCGGAGTGTTCTCTCCGTCCTCTTCCTCCTCCTCCTTCTCCTCCTCCTACTCCTCCTCCTCCTCCTCCTCCTCCTCCTTGTCGGCCTCCTCCTCCTCCCTCCTCCTCCGCCTCCTCCTCCCCACCTCGTCTCCTCCTCTTCCCTCCTCTTTCCCCTCCTCTCTTCCTCCTCCTGCTCCTCTCCTCCGCCTTCCTCCTCCTCGTCCTCCTCCATCCTCCTTCTCATCATCCTCTTCTCGTCCTCCACCTTCTCTTCCTCATCTTCCCTTCTCTCTCTTCCTCATGCTCCCCTCCTTTCCTCACTCCTCCTCCTCCTCCTCCTCCTCCTCCTCCGCCTCCTCCTCCTCGTCTTCCCGGTCAGTGTTGCATTGAACGGTCGGCCTCGGCGACTTCCTGGATGCGCCCCGCCGCTGCCGCTGCCTTTTCTCGAGCCGTGTTTTTCGCCGCAGTCCCACGATAGTTGATTGTCCGTCCTGTTGCATTCCAGAGTGACGCTGTTGCACTTCCACGGCCCCGCGACCTCCTCCTCCTCCTCCTCCTCCTCCTCCTCCTCCTCCTCCTTCTCCCCCTCGTCCTTCCCCAGCACCGCGGTGCCTATCAGTGACCTCGGGATCCCTTTTGATATCATGTCTTTTCCTCCGCGCTCTGTCGTGGAGCTGGTGCGTCAGGGCGCCCTAAGCGCTGGCAAGGCGTTCAGATTCTCGAACACCACGAGGACGTCTGCGTGGGCGGGGAGATCATGTGGACGAGGATGCCCAGGGAGCATCTCTCTCTCTCTCTCTCTCTCTGGTCAGGCGCGCTATGGGTCCCGTGACCGTCTTGCGCGTGCTGGCTATCGAATTTCCGCTGCATCTTGCTGGTGTTCGGCCAAGCAGGCCACCGTTGGGCATGAGTTCTACGAGTGCCCTAATTTCTATGATGATGTATATAATGATATATAATGATCCTGATCTAACCTGGGATCCAGCTCTTGATTACGTGCGCACATGTCTCAAAGGCAAAGGTCAGGCAGGTTCAGGACAGCAGGACTTCGACTACGTTTGAGACCTCAGTGGGGGTGCCCATTTAGTCCGATCTACAGCGCCTCAGTGTGTTGAGGATAAGGCTTAGGTGGAGTTTGGGGGAGCTTGGGAGTATGATGAGAGTTCTTTGAGTAGTGATTGTCATACTGATGGCTATGGGATGGCCCGAGGTTGGCAGGAACCCGTAGATGTGGGTGGTCAGCGGTGCAGTTGGAGGACAGTGGCGTGCCAGTCAGAATTGTCTATGGGCCCTTTGGGGGGCCGATCCAAACGGTTGGAAGAGCTGAAAGGTTTACAGTGGTCAAGCACTCCGCCATGTGCCTCCCCTGTTTCTTTGTCGCGTCCGACTTGCTGGGCATCAAGATTGAAGGAGAGCGTTGGTCTCACGAGCAGGCTGATGCACAGGCGACCTAGAGGCCCACATCTGGCGCTCCATGCTGGCAGTGTTCCCCGATGGAGTTGGTCGCCCGAATCGGATATGGTGCCCGTCGCTCATCACGCCAGAGAAGCATGTCGAGATTGCGGTCGGGAGAAAAGACCCCGTGGGAGCTCGTGCTCGGAAATATGCGGGTATAGTATTTCGCCAAGCGCGGCGCCCTGGTTCATGCGCAGCCCGACACCGTCGTCAAGTCAAGTCGTTCGAGGCTCGGCTTAAGGCCCTTGAGGATGTCGGCGCAGGTCTTTGCCTGTGGGGCGGCCAAGATTGTTGGTCTCGCGGCACATCAGGTGGTGGTGAAAGGGCCCCAGGTTTTCCACAGTAAAGAGTGCCTTGAGGTTGCCCGTACATAGGCCAGTCTTGGGAAAGTGGTGGGAGCCTCGTGTAAGCCGACGGCCCAAGATAGGCTCAAGGCTCGTCCCGTGAGATCCCAGGCCGTGCAGGTTGCCCTACAGTTGGCGGATACTGCGGACGACCCAAAAGCTGGCGCTCAGGCGAAAGCGGGGCCCGAGGTGCCAGCGCTTGCCGCCGAAGAGATCGTCGAGTTTCTTGGGCACCGAGTGCTGGTGTTCCTGTGGGCAATGGTCTGCACATGATGTGGTTCCTACCAGGCGCCCAGTGGCAACGTAGCGGACCGTACGCTGCAGGAGAATTGCTTCGTCTCTTCGGACGCATGCAAGATCTGCTATACGGGCTGGCCGCTGCCACCCCAAGACGGGCAAATCTGCACGACTCGGCGTAGCGCGGGTCCTCCTCCTCCTCGTCTTCCTCCTCTTCCTCCTCCTCCTCCTCCTCCTCCTCCTCCTCCTCCTCCTCATCCGTTTGTCGCACCGTGCCTGCACTGCCCTGTCTACGGGCGAGTGGACCAGGCGGTGCAGCGCGACAGGCGGAGATGTGCAGACCGCCTCTCTCGTCGAACCTTCCCGGGTTGCCTCGCTGTCGATGTGCTGCCGCTCCAGCCTTGCCGTCGCCGACGGTGGGGCCTCCGCGGCAACCCCCAGCTTTTCCTCCGCCCTCCCCCTCCTGCATCCCCTCGTCCTCTTCATGGCCCCTCCTCCCCCCCTCCTCCTCTTCCTCCTCCTCCCGCCTCCTCCTCCTCCTCCTCCTCCTCCCCTCCTCCTCCTCCTCCTCTCCTCCTCCTCCTCCTCCTCCTCCTCCTCCCTCCTCCTCCTCCTCCTCCGCCTCCCGTCGCCCCCCCTCCCCAGAAGCTGCCAGAGCGCCGGCCCTGGTCCAGTGGCCCCGCCCGCCCCCCCCCCCCCTTGGCGCTCGCGCTCTCGGCGCCCCTTTGCCCCGAAGCGTTCGACGACTCTTCTCCGATCGACCTGCGAGGATAGAGCTTCGGACAAGGCGAGGTGGATCCTCGCAGGCCGACGCCGATCGCGACAGAGCTTCGGGCCCGGAGACCTCCAGAGGAATCGGGAGAGGCAGCAATCTGTGATCGGAGAGGTTGATGGACCTCCTGACCCTGACACGTCGATTAGCAAATTGGCCGTTTTCGGTTCGCGAGAGGGCGTCGCGGCCGTCATTTTGCGGGTCCAGGTCCGTCGGTTTCGGTCCTACGCCGTTTTCATGAAAGGGTGGAGGTTTGTCCACCGCCGACGTAAGCTTTGCGTGACCCTGGGGCCCTCTGAGACCTCCGTCCCCAGGCCTTCCCTGGAGGCCACGTGGACCTCCGGGAAAACATCCCGGGGGCACCTTGGACCAGAGCCGCCTCTTTCACCGATCGGGCCTGGGCATCGCGGACAACAAATTTGTGGTGCTCTCTTTATTTCCGAGTTTTCCACCCTCGGGGGCCGCTTCCAGCCCAGGGCTCATTTCGATTCCGCCATCTCGATGCGCTTTCGATTCCGATTCCGATTCCGATTCGGTTCGACTCCGGATGCCGATTTGGATGTTTGTTTCTCAGCGGAGGTTTTTTTTGGCTTGCCGGTTTTCCGCTGATTCGACTTCTCCCGAATTGGCAGCCGATGTCCGCCGATCCGACTATTTTCCATCGAAGGTCCGACGTCTTCTGTCGATGTTGGGCTCTCCTGCAGCCCCAGACCCGTCAAGCAACGGCTCAGAAGGCGAAGCTCGTTCCCGGGCAGGCGTCGAGAGCCCCCGCGGAGGCGAGACGTGAGAATATGTTTTCTTATTCTGAGCGTCGCGCTGAGAGGAGCAGCCTCCTCCTCCTCCTCCTCCTCCTCCTCCTCCTCCTCCTCCTCCTCCTCCTCCTCCTCCCCTCCTCCTCCTCCTCCTCCTCCTCCTCCTCCTCCTCCTCCTCCTCCTCCTCCTCCTCCTCCTCCTCCTCCTCCTCCTCAGGAGGGGAAGGATGAAAAAGGGGGATTTGGGGGAGGATAGCGCAGACAAGGACCAGGTCTCAGAGCTGCCGTTCTGTCCAGGTCCGTGCGGTTTCGGCTCCGAGATTGCCGCTGGGGTGCCGCACGTGCACGGGGCACGGGCAGGCTGCGAAGGCCGCGATGAGCACGACGACGACGCGCACACCCCACGACGAGCGTGGGGTGTGCGAAGGCTCCGAGCTGAGCACGAGGAGGACGAGCAGCAGCAGCAGCAGCAGCAGCAGCAGCAGCAGCAGCAGCAGACCTCACCCAGCGGGTGGATCCCAACATCGACAGCCCCGCCCCTTTGCTGCGCCCCGGCTGCCGCCCCTAGCCCGCGCGGCCTAGGGACGCGCGGCGGGCGCGGCGGGGCCGCCGCCGCGGCCGCCGTTCGGGCATGATTTCACGCGTGTTCGACCAGAGTCGTGGCCTCGCTCCGACGTGTGCGCTTTTCTCCCCGGCGAGGACCATCGAGGAGCATCTTGGATCTTCGTGCGAAAGAAAGTACACGCACGAGGCCGAAACAACAAGTGCACGGGGGACGGACTTCCGAGCGATGGCGGTTCCTGCACCTGGTACAGTCGGGGCGCTGAAGAAGGAACCCTTTTCGTTGGGGAGGGGCTCCATGTTCCTTGATTGTTTCACAGCTTGCCTTAGGTTTTCCTCAGGTTTTCGATGGGAAATCGAACTTTAACTGATGGGAAAAAGAGGCCTCGTTCCTTATTTAGGGTTCCTTAGGTCAACGTCCCGACTGTACTCTTGTGAACCGACTCCGTGCTCCGTGCAGTTGTGTCGCTTCCGCAGTCCAGGGTGTCTGTTTCGGGCCTGGCAGGTTGCGTGACTTTGCGTACGCTCGGCTGCAGGCAGGCTGACCCTCGAGACACTGTTTGGCCTGTGCTTCGCGTGGTCCTTGTCCTTCCCTCTCCCCCCCTCTCCCGAACTATTGCGCTGCATAAGAAGCTAAAAACAAATCCGAGCGATGGCGAGGAGTGCGCTGTGTCCGGCAGCGGCAGCGGCAGCGGCGCAGCAGCTCTGCCCCCCCCCCCGAGCGCGCCCCCGAGCAGGAGCCGCAGCCGCAGCCGGCGGCGGCGGTCGCCGAGCCGCAGGAGGCGGTCGAGGATCGGCCGGCTGGTTGTCGACGGACGTCGACGACGAGGTTCGACTCCACGCAAGAGTGACTTCCCCAGAGATCCGGCGCTCCAAAAAAACAAAAGAGCGGCGTGATTTCTGCAGTATTCTTCCTCTGGGGGCCTTCGCCGGGCTTCGGGAGCGTAAAAAAAACGACTCAGGACGAAGAACCACGGGAAGTGGTCCAGACCTCCTGGGCGCATCAAAAAAATTATGCGGCTGGATATCTGGGTTTCGCCGGAGTGACCTTTAGTGCGGGCCCAACGAGGCCGAACGCGATGGTAGCGTCTTGTGCACCTGTGGTTGATCCCCACGCGTCCCCCGTCAAGCCGCACACCGGAGGTTACTCTTGCTTGGGGTCCTTCTTGCCTGTAACCGAGAGGTGGTTGACAGGAGGGGCGGGGGTGGGCAGTGTGTTTTTGTTTCCGGTCTCGACGCTGCAGCGCCGTGCACATTCGCTCTCACAGATCTCAACAGCTTCGAGGATGGAGGGCGGGGCGTTTTCAAAATGTGGGTCGCTTCAGCGCCGCGCACAGGCCCCAGGCATGGCGTGTTGGCACCATTGGGGGAACTCAGACGGTCGCCTCCGAATAGGGCATTCTCTTGAATGAAGAGACATTATTGCAGGGTCCAGTGAAGAGGGATGTGGGAGGGAGGGTGTATTGCAACATCGATTGTTGATGTTACATTATTCAGCCTCCTCCTGTTCCTCCTCCTGTTCCTCCTCCTCCAACTGCTCCTCCTCCCTAGCCTCCTCCTCCCTTTCCTCATCCTCCTTCTCTTCTTCCTCCTTCTCTTCAATTCCTTTCCTTATACATAACTTCTCCCTGTCGCACCCCGAGGCACTTTTTAGGGTTGGCCAGGCGTTTCGCCTGAGACTTCCTCACCACTACTGATTCGGAAGCTTAAAAAGTGGGAACAGTTTCACAGATGGAGGGCGGGTCGTTTTCAAAATGTGGCTCTCGTTTTAGCGCCGCGCACATTCGTTTTTTTAACTCTGCAAGAGCTTCACGGATTGAGGGCGGGTTGTTTTCAAAATGTGGTTCTCGCTCAAGCGCCGCACACATTCTTTTCAAATATTGCAATAGCTTCACGGGGTGAGGACGACTCCTCTTCGAAATGTGGCTCTCGCCTTATCGCGACGCACACATTCGTTCATACGATTTACAAAATCACGGATCCTCATGGTCAGCGTACTACAGAAGCGGTGGTTTGGAAGGATTCAGGATTATGCGGGCGCAACAGTTATGTTGATTCGCGGTGTCGAAGTCCTAAAAATGGCCCATTAGCACGGTTCCGGATCGTCAAGACGCAGCAGTCAGGTTGATCCGTCGCGTTGAAATCCCGAGAACAATGTTTTCGCATGTTTCAGGGTCTTCAAAGGTGTCGTCCATGGAGGCAATTCCTTCAATGGAAATGAACCGCTGTAGGGTCTTATGAGGAGGGAGCTTGGAGGGTTAATTCCAATAGCTTTGATAACTCTTTGGTTTACACTGGTCCTTCTCCTCCTCCTCCTCCTCCTCCTCCTCCTCCTCCTCCTCCTCCTCCTCCTCCTCCTCCTCCTCCTCCCTCTCCTGCTCCTCCTGCTCCTCCTGCTCCTCCCCCTCTTTTTCCACAGCCTCCACCTCCTCCTCCTCCTCTTCCTCCTCCTCCTCCTCCTCCTCCTCCTCGTCGCCTGTATCGGCGGGCTCGAAGTGGAGCCGGCGACCAGCTGCAGGAGGACTGGCGGGGGGCGGTGGTGGGGGTTGGGCACCGAGGCTCCGTGGGGGTCCCTCCCCTGGGCGGGGGTAGGGCATCGGGTGGGGCGGGCTCGGGATGCCCCCCGTTGCCCGGCCCTACTGTCGCGGGGTCCTCGAGCACGTCCTACTTGGTGTCCCTCCTCCTCCTGGGGTCCCCCTCGGTGGGCGGGCTGGCGCGGGCTCCTTCGGGCCTGCGACGCACGCCCGCAACGCGGCGCGGCGGCACCCAGCGCCAGCCCCGATGGGCGCGATGGGCGCAGGAGGCAGGGGTACAACTGCTCTCGCGCAGGACCCCTGGCCCCAGGGCGGTGCGCCGCACGGCGCTTCTGGCGCGGCCTGCACCGCCCTGGGGTCATTGTGGCCTGGGCTGCCCTGCTAGTGGGGGCTGCTGGGGTCGCCGGGGGGTCCCGCGGCGCGGGGCCCTCAATTTTTGTTGTTGTTCTTCTTCCGAAGAGGGTGGCCCAGGCCCGTCGTCTCAGGAACCATCATTTTCATGGAGATGTGGCTGGCCTGCTCTGAGTAGTCTTGAATAGTCCCACCCGCTCCCTCTCGCCCCACCCCCACCCCCCCTCCTGTCACCCCTCCTATCACCCCTCCCCTCCCTGCCCTCGCCCCCCTTTCCAATTACCCCCACACACACACACCGTTTTTATCCCCCTTGGCCCCGCCCGTTTCCCCCACCTCGCCCCCGCCGCCCCTGAAGGGCGGCAGGCCTCGCCGGCATTGAATGCACAAGCATCTGCGAGGTTGTAAGGCAGACGCTCCACCGACCGCAACCCTGTCGTTCCTGCGGCCGGGCGCTGGCGCCGCGGCGCCCGCGCCCGCCCACCCCCCCAGGTCGGGCAGGGGGGGGGGCGGGAAGGACGGGGGAACCACGAGCACGAACATGACCACATGACAAAGTCAACACGGGAGGGAAGGGAGGAGGAGGAGGAGGAGGAGGAGGATCGGCCACGCGAAAAAAAAACGGGCACAGGGAGGGGGAAGGTTTTTTAGAAGCACCCCTGATTCATAGAAGATTCGGGCCTTCTTTGTAAATTAGGAAAGTGCGCCACTGGATCTCTCTGAATACACTAAAGGGGGGGGGTCCAGAACCCCCCCCTCCCCTCCTTGAACGGGGGGGGGGTCCGGAAACCCCACTTCCCCTTCCCCCCTTAAGGGAGGGAGGGGAGGGAGGTCCCACCCCCCACCCCCCTTCCCCCCCGTGCCGCTGGAAAGGGGGGGGGGGTCGGAACCCTCGTTCCTCCCCTCCCCCCCTTTGCACCAGAAAGGGAGCGGGGGAGGGGTGGCCTCTCTCGCTTGTCCTTTCTGCGCCACAGAAGGTGTGTAGGGAGTACGGAGTTTGGGGTAGTGAGCAGTGGGCAGTGGGTGGCGAGTAGGGAGTAGGGAGTAGGGAGTGGGGAGTCGTGAGTAGTGATTAGTGAGTAGCGTGTACTGTTAAGTGAGTAGTGAGTGGCGAGTAGTGGGTAGTGAGTAGTGAGTAGCGAGCAGTGAGTAGTGAGTACTGAGTAGGGAGTAGGGAGTAATGAGTAGCGGGTAGTGAGTAGTGGGTAGTGAGTAGTGGGCGGCGAGTAGTGCTCACTGAGTAGTGAGTAGTGGGTAGTGCGTAGTGCGTAGTGAGTAGTGAGTAGCGAGTAGCGAATAGTGGGTAGTGAGTAGAGAGTAGTGAGCAGTGATTAGCGAGTAGCGAGTACTGAGTCGTGAGTAGTGAGTAGTGAGTAGTGGGTAGTGCGTAGTGCGTAGTGAGTGGTGAGTAGTGATGCATACAGAGTAGTGGGTAGTGGCAGTGGGTAGTGTGTAGTGAGTAGCGAGTAGAGAGTAGCGAGTAGTGAGTAGTGAGGAACGAATAGGGCGTAGTGGGTAGTGAGTAGTCAGTAGTGAGTAGTGGGTAGTGATCTAGTGAGTAACGACCAGGGAGTAGCGAGTAGTGAGTAGGGTAGCGAATAGTGGGTGGTGAGTTGCGATGAGTGAGTAGTGAGTAATGAGTAGTGGGTAGTGACTAGTGACCTGTGAGTAGTGACTAGTGACTAGAGATCATGTAGAGACTAGTGAGTAGGGAGTAGTGAGTAGTGAGTAGCGGGGAGTGAGTTGTGAGTATTGAGTAGCGAGTATTGGAGTAGCGAGTAGTGAGTACTGAGTACTGTGTAATCAGTATTGTCTAGGGAGCAGGGAGTAGCGAGTAGTGGGTAGTGAGTAGTGGTTTCTCGGCAATGAGTAGTGAGTAGTGAGTAGTGGATTGTGGGTAGTGGGTTATGAGTAGTGAGTAGTGAGTAGGGATTAGTGAGTAGTGCTTAGTGAGTAGTGAGTATTGAATAGTGGGTAGTGAGTAGTGAGTAGTGAGTAGGGAGCAGGCAGGAGGGAGTGGTGAGTAGGGAGTGGTGAGTAGCGACTAGTGGGTGGTGTGTAGTGAGTAGTGGATAGTCAGTGGTGAGTCGTGAGTAGTGAGTAGGGGGTAGTGAGAAGTGAGTAGCGACTGGCGAGTAGTCAGTAGTGGGTAGTGACTAATGAGTTGTGAGTACTCTTTGGGGCTGGGGTTAGTGGTTGGGGTTAGGGTTAGGGGTTTGGGTTAGGGAGAGGACTAGGACTAGGGGTGGCGGGGGTCGGGTTCCGGAGTCAGGGGGCGGCGTGGCGAAAGGAAGGGAAGGGAGGGGGGTTTGCGGCCAAAGGGGGGGAGGGGGGGGGTCGGACCACCCCCCCTTTTGAAAGGGGGGAAAAGGGGGGGGTCCCCGACGACGGATCGGGGAAAGGAGGGGAAGGGGGGGGGGTCCCCGACGACGGATCGGGGAAGGGGGGGAGGGGGGGGGTTCCCCGACGACGGATCGGGGAAGGGGGGGGGGGTCCCACCCACTCACCCCTTGGGGAGATCCAGCGGCGCATCCTCATGGCCAGCGCCCTCTAAGTAGCAGCTTCCTTCTAAGAACCCCCCCTTCCCTTCGCCCCCTTCTGCACGCCGCCACACGAGGATTAGGAAGAGGAGGAGAAGGAGGAGGAGGAGGAGGAGGAGGAGGACGAGGAGGAGGACGAGGAGCAGGACGAGGAGGACGAGGAGGAGGACGAGGAGGACGAGGACGAGGAGGAGGAGGAGGAGGACGAGGACGAGGACGAGGACGAGGACGAGGACGAGGAGGGGGAGGTGGAGGAGGAGGAGGAGGCGGAGGTGGTGGAGGAGGCGGAGGAGGGGGGAGGGAGGAGGAGACCCGCGTCACGGGGCGCGCCCTCACGCAGAAAGAGTGGACCCCCCCGTGCACGGAAAGGCCCACGGTGCCCCCCCTTCTCTTCCCCTTCCCCTTTGCCGTCCTCGGCCCCCCTTTTCCCCCTCCCCTTTCTTCTGGGGGGGCTTTGTCTCGAAGGGGGAAAAACCACATAAACATTAACTGTTGGTGCTCCGCGCGGATTTCTTGGATCGGCGCTGGGCCCCCCTGGCGGCGCCTCTGGCGCCGCCCCTGGCGTGTTCCGCGCGGATCCTAGGAAATCCGCGCAGACCTCCACAAGTTGTTATGCTGATGTGGCTCTGTGTTCCTCTAACTTGTCGGCATTTCTGTGTGTTGGGGGGCCCTTTCGTTTCCTTCCCCCGCCCTCCTCCTTCGCCCCTCGGCTCGGGCCCCTTTCGTCCTCCCCCTTTCGGCCCCTCGCCCCCCAATCTTGGTCTGCCCCCGCTCCGCCGGCCCCGCGGCCTCCGCCAGAAAGATCGCAGAGCTGACTAGTTTGTCACTCCCCTGGCCGACCGGCATTGGGAGGGGGATGGTCGCGTCCGTCGGACTCTCAGACCACCAGTGGTTCAGTGACTCAGGAGGATGGGGAGGACGGGTGGAGGAGGAGGAGGAGGAGGAAGAGAAGGAGGAGGAGGAGGCGGAGGAGGAGGACCAGAGTAAACCAAAGACCCGGCAAAGATGTTGGATTGCACCCTCCCTCCAATCTCCCTCCTCACAGGCCCCTGCCCGCAAGGATTCCCTGCCGCTGAAGGAAGCGCCCCGTTGGGGGACAGCCGTATGAGAATCGCGAAGCGTACCAAAACACCATTCTCAAGACTCCAACGCTCGCCACGAGTCAACCTGGCCGTTGCGTTTTGAACGTGCCAGAACACCGTTCCTGGGACTTCAGCACGTCGTATCAACGTAACTGCCGCGCCCTGCAAAGCCTATGCCGCTCCAAAACACCGTTGCTGGTACGTTAACCAGAACACCATGAAACTCTTGCAAAATGTTTGAAAACGAATGTGCGCGGCGCTGGGGCGAGAGCCACAGTTTGAAAAGTGGCCGATTTCAACCCGTGAAACCCATGCATACTGTTCAAACGAATGCGCGCGTCGTTGAGGCGAGAGTCATATTTTGAAAACGAGCCGCCCTAAGTCGCCAAACTCTTGCTATATGTTCAAAAGAAATGCACGGCGCTAAGGCGAAAGCCACAGTTTGAAAAGGGACCGTTTTCAATCAGTGAAGCTCTTGCATGTTGTTTAACGAATATGCGCGGCGCCTAGGCGAGAGCCAAAGTTTGAAAACGACCCGCCCTCAACCCGTGAAAGCCTGACAAATGTGTCATACGAATGTGCGAGGTGCCAAGGCGACAACCAAAGTTTGAAAAACTACCCGTCCTCAATCTGCAAAACTCGTGCGATGTGTTCCAACGAATGTGCGCGGCGCTAAAACGAGAGACATGTTTTGGAAACCACCCGCCCGCCATGTGTAGCATTGCTGCTGTAGTTTCAGCTTGAGGCGCATAAATGGTAAGGAAATCTCGAGCGAAGCGCCTGGCCCGCCCTTCCGACTGACGTCGGCGCTCGACGGGGAGGAGTTAACCAGAGAGAAAGGAATGTAGGAGGAGGAGGAGGAGGAGGAGGAGGAGGAGGAGGAGGAGGAGGGGGGGCAGGAGGAGGAGGAGGAGAAGGAGGAGGAGGAGAAGGAGGAGGAGGAGGAGTACGGGGGGGGGATGAGGAGAAGGAGGAGGCCCCTTGTCGCGGTGGGCTGCCGTCGGGCAGCGTGGGACGCAGCCGATTTGCACTTAAAATGCGTGAGCGGCAGCAGGAGGAGGAGGAGGAGGAGGAGGAGGGGAGGAGGAGGGAACGTCGGAGGAGGGAGCAAGGAGGAAGGAGCAGGGAGCGAGGAGGAAGGAGGAGGGAGACGGGAGGACGAGTGGGAGACGAGAGGAGGGAGCAAGGAAGAAGGAAGAGGGAGCGTCGGGAGCGTTAGGAGCGTCGGGAGCGTCAGAAACGTCAGGAGCGTCGGGAAGGCAGGAGCGCCAGGAATTTCAGGGGCGTCGGGAATGTCAGGAGCGCCGGCAGCGCTGGGCGCGTCGGGCGCGTCAGGAGTGCCAGGGACGTCAGGAGCATCGGGAACGTCGGGAGCGCCGGCAGCGGGGGAGGAGGGGAGAAAGGGAGAAAGCGAGGAGGAAGAGAAGGAGGAGGAGGAGGAGGAGGAGGAGGAGGAGGATCAGGAGGGAGGAGGAGGAGGACCAGGAGGTGAAGGAGGAGGAGGAGGAGGAGGGGAGGGAGGAGGAGGAGGAGGAGGAGGAGGAGAGGAGGCGAGGGAAGAGAAGGAGGAGGAAGGAGGGAGGGAGGAGGAGGAGAAGGGAGAGGGAGAGAGGGAGGAGGGAGGGAGGAGGGAGAGGGAGGGAGGAGGAGAGAGGAGGGGGGAGAGGAGGAGGAGGAGGAGGAGGAGGGAGGAGAGGAGAGGAGGAGGAGGAGAGGAGGTGGAGAAGGAGGAGGAGGTGGTGAAGGAGGAAAAGAGGAGGAAGGAGGAGGAGGAGGAGGAGGAGTAGGAGGAGGAGGACGACGAGGACGAGGGACGAGGCGAGGTGAGGAGGAGGAGGAGGAGGAGGAGAGAGGAGGACGAGGACGAGGAGGAGGAGGGAGGAGGAGGGAGGGAGGGGGCAGAGAGGGAGGGGAGGCAGAGAGGGGAGGGAGGAGGAGAGAGGGAGGGAGGAGGGAGGACCTTCGTGTGGAGACCCTCCTGGGACAGCCCCCCCCCCGCGAGGAGCCGAGCCCGCCGCTCGCGCAGCCGCCGGCGCAGCCGCTCGCGGGGCGGCGGCCTCGGAGGGGGCCTCGCGCCCCGCGGAGGCTGCTAAGGGAGCCCCTGGCCCAAGCTGCTCCCAGCTCCTCTTCCTCCTCCTCCCCTCGTCCTTCTTCCTCTTCCTCCCCTCTTCCTCCTCCCCTCGTCCTTCTTCCCAGCTCCTCTTCCTCCTCCTCCTTCTTCCTCCTCCTCTCCTCTTCCTCCTCCTACTCCTCCTCCTCCTCCTCATCCTCATCATCATCAGCAGCAACATCATCAATATCATCATCATTATCATCATCACCACCATCATCATCATCAACATAATCAGCATCATCATCAGCATCATCATCATTATCATCATCACCATCAGTATCATCACCATCATCATCAGCATTATCATCGTCACTCTCACCATCATCATCATCATCATCACCATCATCATCATCATCATCATCATCATCATCATCATCATCATCATCATCATCTTCCTCCCCCTCCTCTTCCCCCTCCTCGTCCTCCTCCTCCTGCTCCCTCTGCTCCTCCGCATCCTCGTCTTGAGTTATGATGTTCCAACGTACTTCGGCCCAAGCTGCTCCCAGCTTCTCGTTCAATGTTTAGTCGGAGGTCGATAGACCTCCTACCCTGACACGTCGATGAGCGAATTGGCCGTTTTCGGTTCGCGAGATGGCGTCGCGGCCGTCATTATTGCGGGTACAGGTCCGTCGGTTTCGGTCTCAGGTTTCACTACAGGGAGGTTTACTAAAGGGAGGTTTGTCCACCGCCAGGGAACGAAGACTGGCATAAACATAAAAGCTCAAGCTCGCAGGTCCGCGTCTTCACCAGCATCTGCAGAACTTAATAACTTAGCAGCAGTGGCTGCCTTCGCTTTCCACTCATCTTTCTCCGCGGCATCCAATCCGTTCCTCGGATCCGCGCTGGGGCCCCTTGGCGGCGCCTCCGGCGCCGCTCCTGGCGCGCTCCGAGCCCTCCTGGGCAGCGCTTTCCTCGGGCGCCGCTCCGCGCAGCGCCGATCCGCGGAACCCGCGCGGGCCTCCGAGCTTTTATGGTTATGCCATTCCTTGTTCCCCTGATGTTCGCCCCTCCTCCTCCTCCTCCTCCTCCTCCTCCTCCTCCTCCTCCTCCTCCCCCTCCTCCTCCTCCTCCTCCTCCCCCCGCCTCCTCCTCCTCCTCCTCCCCCTCCTCCTCCTCCTCCTCCTCCTCCTCCTCCTCCTGCCTCCTCCTCCTCCTCCTCCTCCTCCTCCTTTGCGACCTTTGCGAACAGGCTCCACGTCGCTCGGGCGACGAAGCCTATGCCCTCGCCTGCATTGTGCAGACGAGGACGGCACGCGGACAGCGTGCCTGCGCCCGAAGCGCCACGGGGGGACCCCCTCAACCGAAGGCCTCCGGAGGCCGAGGCCGCCAGCGGCCAGGAACGACAGGAGGCCACGAGGCCCCAGGAACGGCCCCAGGGCGCACGGGGCCGAGGAGGAAGGAAGGGGAGGACGCCGCCAGGGCTCTCAGAGGGGGGGGGGACGGGCACGGGGCGGGTGAGACAGAGAGGGAGGGGGAAGGAGGGGGCTCATCAAAGGCCTGAGGGAGGGGGGGAAGTTCTCACCCGACCCCTTCTAGGCGGCGGGCCCGCGGGCCCAGGTGTTAGAAGTCGCCGTTCTCCTCATCCCCCCACTCCTGTGGGGGGCGGACAGGGTGGAGTGCGTGTAGGGCTGGGAGCTACCGTAGACCTTGGTCGGGGCGGCGTCCCAGTCGAAGTGCTTGGGTCCATGTTACGGACCGATCCCTGATCGACACTTTGTCGGCGTTGGAGCAGTCCCGAGCCCATTCTCTCGATAACTAGGTTGAACTCGGGTATGGAGTCGATAAGGGAGTCTCCGTGTCGAGCGTTATTCGGCGGCCTAATCACACTGCAAGCGATGTTGTTGTTGTAGCAGATGTCCATTGTCTTGATCAGGGCCCTAAGCGTCTGGTTGTGTCGTTCGATAGTCGTAGCCCATCGAGGTTGTAGATCTGGTCGTCCCCAAGGCCATCGTTGGGTCCTGCAGTGGTAGGCGGCAGTACTCTCTGGGTCGTGAGGGTCGTCCTGCCATGTGATGGTGGGCAGTTGTATGGATACCGCTGAGATGTAGCCTTGGTCAATCTGAGCCTGTGTGAAGTAGGCGATGCTGTCTGGCTGCTCGGTATACTGTTGGTCTGAGGTGAAGAGGTAGACGGAGTCCGCGATGTGGTCGTCGTTGTTCCGCGGCGTCATGGGGTCGAGGTCGGGCTGGTGTTGGAGGGTCATGTCGGAGATGATGTGGAGTAATGTGGTAGGTGGTGCGATGGGTGGGCTGTGGGCTGCGGTCGCTGTCGCTACTGAGGCTGGGTGGTCTGGAGTGGGCGGTAGCTGAGGGTATGCATGGGTGGGCGTCGGAGAGTGGTCGAGTCGTGGGATCAGGTCGACGATGGTCTTGTGGGCTGGTTTGTCGCTAAAGTAGTCGGGTCGACCGCTCAGTCGGTTCTCGGTGATGGCTTGGCGGTACCGCTCGTTGTTGGCCAGTAGTTGCGCATCGGTGAGTGGTTCCTCAAAGCTTGTGTGCCATGCATACCACGAGCGGCAACATCTGGAAGTGGTCCGTAGGTGCTTGATGAGCCTGGCGTAGCTGTGGAACTCGGTCGCGCAGCATCGGCAGGCTGTCCCCGTAGCCCAGTGGAGGGGGTGGCTGTGGTCTTTGTGTTCTCGTCCCATGTGTACAGCCATGCCTTTTTTGGTGCGGGTGGTAATGCCGCATTCGTAGCATATGAACCGTTGATGGTGGTGTGGTGTGTCGTCTTGCCCGCCAAGCTGTCGTCGTAGGGCGTCGTTTCTGCTGCATCTAGTCGTGTGGTGGACGTACGCCTGTACTGCGGTCTTGACGCATCCCTGGAAGTCGTTGGGTGAGGCTCTGGCCCATTGGATGATGCTGGCATCGCTGTGGTCGGAGGAGGGCCATCGCTTGTCGCGTAGGTGCAGGCGGAGGAAGTCGAAGTCGGTGAGGAGGGCGTTGGCCCATGTGCCTTGCCGAGCGTTCTGTGAGTCGAGTAGGGCAAGGAGGGGGGCGGGAGCATGCCGTAGGAGTCGAGGTAGGTAGCGGAGCCTGGCTGCAGCCTGGTGGGTCTTGAACTCGGGTGTCCCAGTGGTGGCAACTACGTCAGCTGTGGTGAGGTGGTGCTGTGGTGTGTTGGATTTGGGAAGGTTGGCGGCGAGTCGGTAAGGGCCCTGGAAGCGCGCGTCGATCATCTGCATGTCCTTCACATTGAGCTTGTTCCAGACGTGGTGGTTGAAAGTAAGTGAGGACGTTGACAACGCGTGCACGAACTTCTGTTTGGCTTTCTGTGTAACGTTCTTGCGCTTGAGGATCTGCTTCTGCATAGGAACCGATGATCCAAGAGTTCGGTTGATGCGAAGTCGAACCTCAGGGCCCATCGCTCCAGTGGCCGTTATGATTGTGCCCAATGCCTTTTCTTGATTGGTGATGCCGATGCTGATGCCGAGGTCTGTGAGGTCGATGCTCGTAATGTTGTTCCTGGTGAAGTCTTGGCGCACGGTCTTTGCTCCTTTGCCATAGTGCATGAGGATCGCCTTTGTCTTCGTCGGATGTGGTCGAAGGCCGTGGGAGTAGGCTGCTCTGCATATGCACCTTGCTGTGGATGTTGTCGCTGCTAGAAGGTCCTGCGGCAGGGGCGTTGAGGTGTAGTGAGTCAGGTCGTCGACGAATGACATGTTGGTCAGCGTGATTTCTTCGTGTGGCATCGGCGAGAACAAGGGGTTGCGATGGGCTCGGATGCAGTGTCCGCCGCTGTGGTCGTCTGCGGAGTCGATCTCGTCCTGAATGGCGCGAAGCATCAGCGCGAAGTGCGTGTTGAAGGCAATGTCGGAATATGGCACTCCAGGCCTTGTGCTCGTCCGTGGGAGCTGGTAGTGGGTGGCGGTCCGTGAGGTCATCCAGTTGCTCGTATGGTGGTCTGCGATCATTGCGCAAAGATGCTGGTCGTCGATGGTGTCGTCAATGGCGGCGGGTGAGCTGAGTCGTTGGCGTAGGGATGCCCTCATGAAGTCGGGGAGGTCGATGTTGGCGATCAGGTCGTTGAGTTCGTCTGTCGTAGATGGAAGTGTCATGCAGAACTCGCGGATGACGGAGTGAAAGGCCTCTCGGAGGTCCAGGAAGATGATGCTGCCTGACATTCCTCTGTGCTGTATGTCGCCAATGAAGGAGAGCGTCGTGTGCGTGACGAAGTCGGTCGACATGTTGGGTCTTGCTCCGCATTGTGTGCTTTCGAGAAGTTCTGGAAGTAGCCCTTTCATGAGCTGGCGGAGGAAGGAGCTGTGGACCTTTCCGATGGTATTGTTGAGCAGGATGCCGCGGTAGTTCTTCTGCACCTCCAATGATCCCGAGCCTTTGTGAAAGTGCGTGGACCATCCGCCTTTGAAAGCGATCGGCTCCTTGGATTGGACTTGAGCTTTGACTAGAACTGGATGGAGAAGACGTGCCATCTCGCGTGGAGCTGCCCTTGACATGTCGTCGGTGAGCTGGTCTGGTCCGCCCCGTCTGCCTCTCTTGGCCGCGGCGAGAATGCTCGTCGCTTGTGAAAGCGTGATGATGTTGTCGAGGCTGGGCGTCGGCGGTGATGCTGAAGTGCGAGCGTTGTAGTCGGAAGCCACTTGGTCGGCGCTCGCTTTAATAGCGTTCTCGATTTTGCCGTAATAGTCGAGGGCGTGGTTGGCGATGTCCTTCTTCGTCAGGAGTGGTTCTCCGTCCACTGTATGTCGGATGATGGGTGTAGGTTGGCGTTTGGCTCTCAGTCCAGCAAAAGCCAGTAAGCGCTTGGCCATTCGCCATTCGTCTTGAGGTGTATTGGCGTGGAAGGATGCCGTCATCTGCTCTGCGGTATTGTTGAGGAAGCTGTCTCGATCGTCGCTGATCCATCGATGCAAGGTCCGTGTGGTAGCCGTGGTGAAGTCGAGGCAGGCGTAGTAGAACTGCTGGAAGCCTTGCGG